GCTATTCGGCTATCGTTAATCGGATCATGAAAAAAATGCATGTGCATATGTCCCATATAATGTGTGATGTATGAGTGAAGTTTGAACATAATCGGTCCATGCATGTTCGAGATACAGGTGATCACGGACGGACGGACGCACACAGGGCAAAACATAAGTCCCCGTTTTCGGACTCCGTCCGAACAGGGACTAATTAGAGAATTGAAGATATCATGAAATGAACAAATCTAAGAGAGGTCTACCCAAGGTACATATACACCAAGTATCAAAGCATTCAGGCTTGTAGTTTTCAAGAAAAAGTCGAAAAAGTAAAACATTGACACGGACGACGACGACAATCACTCGTATGATAAGCTCCGCTCGACAAAGTCACAGCGGAGCAAATGATACATGAAAGGAAACATCAGATTACATAACAATCAAACACATCTACTGAATATGTCTAGTTTTTTGTAGAAGGTGGAACATTGGAGACATGAACAAATCTGACAAACATTCAGTAATTTGGACAGCAATGATGTAGAAAACAAGCAGCCTCTCGACTGAGATAGCTCCGCTGTTAGCAATGCACATTTCAATTAAAGAACAGAAGATACCATTACAAAATTAACAATGTGCATAGTATCAATGCAATGGGACTTGCTGTTTTCAACAAGAATTCAAAAATATCATTTTTCACCATAAATGATTGTGGTTTTTAACAAGAAGAAAATATCACTTTTTTATTACCAAAAAAGCCAAAAATATTCACCAAAATTAGAGAATTGAAGATATCATCATGAAATGAACAAATTTGAGAGTGGTCCACATGTAATACCTATATATGTAATATCAAAGCAATTGGACTTGTGGTTTTTAATAAGAAGTCGAAAATATCAACTTTTTACCAAAAATGACAAAAATATTCACCAAAATTAGAAAATTGAAGATATTATCATGAAATGAACAAATCTGAGAGAGGTCTACCCAAGGTACATATACACCAAGTATCAAAGCATTCAGGCTTGTAGTTTTCAAGAAGAATTTGAAAAAGTAAAACATTGACACAGACGACAGACAATCACTCATATGATAAGCTCCGCTCGACAAAGTCGACAGCAGAGCTAAAAATGGCAGCTATTTTTAAATAACATAATATGGTATTACCGTGACACAATCTTAACAATTTGCACTTCACAATATTTACTAAAATAAACAAAACAAAACTAGTTCTCTTTTGTTTTTGAATGAGTAAAAGTACATTTTAAAGGAAAGAGTAGAAAGATTGTTGGGGAGGGAGGGAGGGGGGTAATATTGATACATTATCAGTACATTATTTACATCAGCAAAACATTTTGATTCACATAAAAACAACTAAACCAGACATGAACTTCAAATTTCGATTTGATTCTGTAGCACCTGAACAAAAAGCCTACAATGCATTTATGGAAAGCGTCCTCAACACACATAAATTATTGCCCAGCAATATCAAAGTGGGGTCGTCACCTGTTCCTGCCACAGGCGATCTTAGCATACTGCTGTTTACAAACATGAAAATGACTACTTATAAGCTTTTGTAGTTTTAGTGTGCATTGTTATCAATGACCCCCCCCCCTCTTTAATGGTGATATATACCAGTATAAAAATCAACCCGCGGAGACATAGTCACACAAATCTGTGCCAATCACCATATTGTCTGTACACTAATTAAAATATTGAAATTACACTACATTGAACAGTTTATACAGTTTACAAAAATAGAATTTAAACAATGTGCAAAAGCCACCCCCTCTTTTTTTGACACAGTGGGCCAGACAGTAATAATATGATAGATAATAAAATGAGACATGAATATTTCAACTCAAAAAAATAAATAAATTATGAGGAATGAGTTTCTAAGAACCCCAACAAGATGAAACACCATAGAAACAGACATTACTATAACGACCAAATACATTAAAAAAAATATCTATGGATACAAAATTTTCTTGGACTTGCTCTCTACAGCAAAAACAATTTCATTTTTTAAAATTTTAATATTAATATATGTGAATGTATAAATATATCCTTTTTTTGTCAATAAATATGACTAAACTTTACTGTAGCAACTGTTTGTGAATAATTTCCCAGACCATTCGCCGACGGAAATATGGCATGTGTGCCTGAAATGAATGAGAGTGTTTATTAATAATACTATAGTGCTCAAACTGTTCAAAATGTCATAACAAATGCAACCAATGTGTGGGCCAAATGTTTTTGCTCAGTGTAAAGTCAAATTATTTATGTTCCAATGGTGTAAAAAATAAAAGTGAACTTGACAACTGTATGAAAACTAAACAAGCTGGTTACATGAGTGGCAGTTATCCGAGTGATGGTAATTTTTGTTCCTTTTGTCAATTAGGCAAAAACTTCTGTTTCACCAACAAGGGATTTGCAAAATATGGCAAAGATTTTTATCGTGTAGAGTAAGCAAAGGTAATCGAAGATACTATCATAAACTCAAGTGACTGAGAGTTAAAGCGCGGTGGTCGTCGCGCAGCGTGTGTTTGAATTTCATGTAAATAAACAATTGTATTTTACATGCGTTGTGTATGTCGCTATGAACAGGACGCGGCGTGGCGTGGGGCGTGACGACTACCGCCCTTTAATCAAAACTCTTAAAAGATCCAAAAACATTTTTTAGTATGATGTCACTACAGAAGAGGTGTGCACCTACATAAAAAAGTAACATACATTGGTCAGCAGAGATTTACTGAGGACAATATTTCGTATTGTGACAAACATGATTTTTTTGCACAAGCAAGAGGCAAACAAAGTTAATTTCTTTTAATAAAGCTGGTGTCAAGATAAATCATGATTCAAACACGACATACAGACGTGCTTTGAGGTGTGAGCAAGCAAAATTCAGCAGTACATGTACATGAAAGCTCCTGGTGTAAACTTTATATTTATATATTAGTTTACAAGTCATCAGTTATGCAAAGATTATTCATTATTTGGACACTCAATGTCCCTGGACCTGTAAACCTGTTTTGTTTGTTGATGTGGTGCTCTGTCAGCAATATGCATAGCAGGCAATCTGGTTAAAAACTGATGTTGTTTGACAGCTAGCAAAAAGACTGATCCAGACACATCAATGACAGGGACTGTTATGATGTGAACACTTAGTCGATCTGAGCAGTAACTAACAATATATCATTAGCTATCGACACAAACCAAACACTCATTCCTACCTGTGTGAAAGTTATCTTTGAACCTCTCGTTATATATTCGGCGTATTTACAGGTGAACATTCCGCAATCACTTCCATTCATTTGTGGAGGGATATCCTGTTGTACCTCAAGTTTCCACTCCTTAATACTGCTGAATTCACTTTTCTTTTTGTCTCTGTGCTCGGCACATAGATATTCCCTGTATCAAATGATTACAATATCATGACAATGTCTGCTAAGATGATATCACGACAATGTCTGCTAAGATGATATCACGACAATGTCTGCTAAGATGATATCACGACAATGTCTGCTAAGATGATATCACGACAATGTCTGCTAAGATGATATCACGACAATGTCTGCTAAGATGATATCACGACAATGTCTGCTAAGATGATATCACGACAATGTCTGCTAAGATGATATCACGACAATGGTTGCAACAATGATATCACGACAATGGTTGCAACAATGATATCACGACAATGGTTGCAACAATGATATCACGACAATGGTTGCAACAATGATATCACGACAATGGTTGCAACAATGATATCACGACAATGGTTGCAACAATGATATCACGACAATGGTTGCAACAATGATATCACGACAATGGTTGCAACAATGATATCACGACAATGGTTGCAACAATGATATCACGACAATGGTTGCAACAATGATATCACGACAATGGTTGCAACAATGATATCACGACAATGGTTGCTACGATATCACGACAATGGTCGCTACGATATCACGACAATGGTCGCTACGATATCACGACAATGGTCGCTACGATATCACGACAATGGTTGCTACGATATCACGACAATGGTTGCTACGATATCACGACAATGGTTGCTACGATATCACGACAATGGTTGCTACGATATCACGACAATGGTTGCTATGATATCACGACAATGGTTGCTATGATATCACGACACTGGTTGCTACGATATCACGACAATGGTTGCTACGATATCACGACAATGGTTGCTACGATATCACGACAATGGTTGCTACGATATCACGACAATGGTTGCTATGATATCACGACAATGGTTGCTATGATATCATGAAACGGATTGTGAAACAAATTGATGTGCATATATATAATATTATGTATGATGTATGTATGAAATTTGATTGTGATTGGTCCAGGCATGTCTACTGCAGGTGTTCACATTGCTTCCCATGTTGGTAATGATATACCAAAATAAATATTCAAATGACAATAAATACAATAATATGTTTCATCTCAGCAGATAATTGTTTACTTTCACTACTAGCCTGTAATAAAGGTGTGGGCCAGGTCTTAAAAACAGACAAGATTAAGCCTTTACTTTAGCTTTTGTGCATTGCTACTTACCTGAGTGAATTGAGACACTGCTTATTTTCACCACCCATGGAGTCGTAATATGCTATTGTTTTTGTGCATTGCTACTTACATGAGTGAATTGAGACACTGCTTATTTTCACCACCCATGGAGTCGTAATATGCTATTGTTTTTGTGCATTGCTACTTACCTGAGTGAATTGAGACACTGCTTATTTTCACCACCCATGGAGTCGTAATATGCTATTGTTTTTGTGCATTGCTACTTACCTGAGTGAATTGAGACACTGCTTATTTTCACCACCCATGGAGTCGTAATATGCTATTGTTTTTGTGCATTGCTACTTACCTGAGTGAATTGAGACACTGCTTATTTTCACCACCCATGGAGTCGTAATATGCTATTGTTTTTGTGCATTGCTACTTACCTAAGTGAATTGAGACACTGCTTATTTTCACCACCCATGGAGTCGTAATATGCTATTGTTTTTGTGCATTGCTACTTACCTGAGTGAATTGAGACACTGCTTATTTTCACCACCCATGGAGTCGTAATATGCTATTGTTTTTGTGCATTGCTACTTACCTGAGTGAATTGAGACACTGCTTATTTTCACCACCCATGGAGTCGTAATATGCTATTGTTTTTGTGCATTGCTACTTACCTGAGTGAATTGAGACACTGCTTATTTTCACCACCCATGGAGTCGTAATATGCTATTGTTTTTGTGCATTGCTACTTACCTGAGTGAATTGAGACACTGCTTATTTTCACCACCCATGGAGTCGTAATATGCTATTGTTTTTGTGCATTGCTACTTACCTGAGTTAATTGAGACACCCATGGAGTCGTAATATGCTATTGTTTTTGTGCATTGCTACTTACCTGAGTGAATTGAGACACTGCTTATTTTCACCACCCATGGAGTCGTAATATGCTACTTACCTAAGTGAATTGAGACACTGCTTATTTTCACCACCCATGGAGTCGTAATATGCTATTGTTTTTGTGCATTGCTACTTACCTGAGTGAATTGAGACACTGCTTATTTTCACCACCCATGGAGTCGTAATATGCTATTGTTTTTGTGCATTGCTACTTACCTGAGTGAATTGAGACACTGCTTATTTTCACCACCCATGGAGTCGTAATATGCTATTGTTTTTGTGCATTGCTACTTACCTGAGTGAATTGAGACACTGCTTATTTTCACCACCCATGGAGTCGTAATATGCTACTTACCTGAGTGAATTGAGACACTGCTTACTTTCACCACCCATGGAGTCGTAATATGCTATTGTTTTTGTGCATTGCTACTTACCTGAGTGAATTGAGACACTGCTTATTTTCACCACCCATGGAGTCGTAATATGCTATTGTTTTTGTGCATTGCTACTTACCTGAGTGAATTGAGACACTGCTTATTTTCACCACCCATGGAGTCGTAATATGCTATTGTTTTTGTACAAAAATTTATAACCTGGTAAAAAGAACAACATGTTATGTATCACTGTATTATGGCATGTTATGTATCACTGTATTATGGCATATTTTATTATATGCTTAGAAAAATGTGCTACATTTAATCAATTTATTATCTAGTGATATTTTCTTTAAATCACGTATATGACAAATGTGGCGTGGTCAATTTCATTTAATGCATACTGTGTAATTTAATAATATTATATATTTTTTTCTTAAAAAAAACACTTTTTATATTGGCTTGTCTTGAAATAAAAGACAATAATAATTATGAAATATTATGCGAATTTGGTAATTAATATGACTAGATTTTAAACTGAAACCTATCAGGTCTGTGCATTGTTCAATAACATCTAAAAACCAAGTTTAATTGAAATCTGACAAGTAGTTCTTGATATAATGTGGAATAGACAGACATACAGACAAACTGAGTAACTGCAAAAACTCCCATTGTTTGTTTTACACATGGAAGTAAAAAATTAAGCATATTGGTTTCTAGGATCCATATAAATAATGTGCTGCAGTTAACTAGGCAAGTATGTTGATGCTTTGCATGACAAATGAACATTGTGTCCCTGATTGTGAGTGTGCAGGTTGTGGAGTAAAAACCCTCAGAGTGTAACTGACATGCACAGAACAGTGTCATAAGTGTCATAATTGTATTGTTGTATTATTATAATTATAATTGTACAGAGCATACTGGAAACTAAGGAAACATAATTTGTGCAAAATCAAAGTTTCAAATGTATTTAAGAAGTCATTCAACACATCTGTCCTGTCGATGTTATGAAGCCAGCAATAGCGGGAAAATATTACATATTCTATCGGACAACTATGGTAATATTAAGGTAGCGAGAAGGGAAATTTTCACTTTTTTCTTGATTTTTCAAAAATTTATAAAACGGTTACTTTAGACCTTGATACATCCACCCCAGGTTTACAAAAGATCGAAATTGCGAAATAACGTTGCTCAAATTGGTGTTTTAAAACACTAGCAGGAAAGACTACAACTGCCGTTTCGTGGATATTTGCATAGTGTTTATCTTTGAAAGGGTTTAAATGATAACATCTTATCTGTATACTCTGTTGTTGACGATTCTGATATAACGGGTGATAAGCTTCCAGTTGCAAACAATGCGTGTTTATCTAACGTCCATTGTCAGCATTATTGTCAGTCGAGACTTTTAAATCGTTTTATTTTCCAAGTCAATATTCTATTTTACCAATACATTTTTTTTCTAACGCAATGGTGAAGAAAAGAAAGAAAGCGTTGACAGACGAGGCAAAGAAAAATCTGCCACTCAGTGTCGCACTCTGACACAGCAATTTTTTTTCAAACATCGGCCATTTTGTTTCACCATGAAAACCGTTTTATTAGATGTCTTATCTGAGACACTTGAAGGATTAGCTTGTTTGTAAACTGTCGGCGTGTACAGTGGGACAGTAATGTTTGTCAGAGGATTATCCCTCGTTGTTCGTTAGCATAACAATGGAAAACCCGAACGTTCCTGGAGTGGGGACTCAAATGCCAGCAGTTTTCTTCATTTTTCATGCTCGAGCTTGAAATTATTCATTATCTGACACTCTTTATGAGTTCTATGATATCAGAGGTTAATATGTTTGGCCATTTTTAGTGTATATTTATAATAATGCAGCAAATCTACAGTGTTTTATTAACCAAAACTGTTTTTCACGTTTTTCTCGAGTTGAAGTTTTGATCGAGAACGACTCATTGGGACCGCCGCCAAATCAAGTGCGTTCGGACTAGGACATTCAAACTCGCATGATGGTGCGAAATATGTCTGGGTTTTTAAAGAAAATGCTTTGTCACAGAATAATAGTCTGTTAAAGGTGCTAAGTATGAAATAATTTGGGGACAAAAAAACAAACCTGCATAGAAATCAGAATAATAGGTCTTTTGATTACCGGGGACACATTTCAATGGACTTGATTACGGACAATGCATAACTTAAATTTCACCAGGAAATTCCGCAGTGTGCTCTCGCAATTGCGTACTTTTTACAAGGTTCGCCATTTTTGATGTCACGTGATAATTATGTAAACAATGTCTGTCCAGTTTGTGCGAACTTGCACCTCTATACTTAGTCTTTTGATATATATAACCTAAATTACTGTTCTGAACGAGACAACAGACAGACAATGTTTTATTTAAAAACGTCACAAAACCTTCTCGCTACCTTAAGTCAGTTTTCTGCTATAACAAGTGTTCCAGTTTTGAGTCATTGTACACTCTGAATAGTGCAACTAATGAATAAACTTACCGCTAAACACCAATGCATGCCTAAGTGGACAGGTACAAGTATTAAATCCATACTGAATAAATCAATTTTTCTGGTCCATCGACGAAGTGCTGAATGTCCTCCGCTGATGAGTTTCGGGTAGAAAAATGTATTGAAGGCATGTACCTTTAAGTAACCCTGAAAATGTATTGAAGGCATGTACCTTTAAGTAACCCTGAAAATGTATTGAAGGCATGTACCTTTAAGTTACCCTGAAAATGTATTGAAGGCATGTACCTTTAAGTTACCCTGAAAATGTAATTAAGGCATGTGCCTTTAAGTTACCCTGAAAATGTATTGAAGGCATGTGCCTTTAAGTTACCCTGAAAATGTATTGAAGGCATGTGCCTTTAAGTTACCCTGAAAATGTATTGAAGGCATGTACCTTTAAGTTACCCTGAAAATGTATTGAAGGCATGTACCTTTAAGTTACCCTGAAAATGTATTGAAGGCATGTACCTTTAAGTTACCCTGAAAATGTAATTAAGCATGTACCATTAAGTTACCCTGAAAATGTATTGAAGGCATGTACCATTAAGTTACCCTGAAAATGTATTGAAGCATGTACTTTTAGTTACCCTGAAAATGTATTGAAGCATGTACTTTAAGTTACCCTGAA